AGGTTTGATACTAGGTCTATAATTATTATTAGGAATATAATTGTTACTAAAGTGTTTATTATTATTGAATCTATTGACGTTAGTATAATTATTATTTCAAAAATAATTATTTTTCGAACCCTGTGTTGGCTTATTTTTAATTATTTTATTAACTTCAGTCTGGGTTTCATTTTCCAACGAAGACAGCGCGATCGTTAAACGCACGGTCTCTTCAAAAGTAATATTGCCTTCGATATACTTTGACCGAAGTTCTTTGTCCAACTCAGGTAAGCCTACTCCTAGGATAAATATATCTCTTAAAAGTTCATCAAAAGGCGGTTTAAAATTACAAAGAGAACAGACAGTTTTAACCCTAATTGAAAAGTCAATAATCGTCTCATTACATCTTTTTAACGTAAAAAATTTTTTCCTATTTATGAAAATGCTCGAACTATCCTTGAACACCAAATTTAAGCTTTTTATTAAAGTATCATAATTTATCATCTCTAAATTTATTGGAAAGTGAGAGTTCTTAATTTTGATAAGATTGTCTGTTCCGATATAGGCTAAAAGCAGGTCTTTTTTTGTATTTAAATCTATAATATTTCTTACTTTATAAATTAACTCCAAGTTAAATAAGTAGTCCTGAATATTTACTTTTTCTTTGACGAATTCTGGAATATGGAATTTAATAGGAACTACTTCCATTGAGTCTTTAACTTTAATAGGGACTACTTCCATTGAATCTTCAACTTTAATAGGAGCTACTTCCATTGAGTCTTTTACTTTAAATTTAATAAATCAAATAAATCTTCTCTAAAAATATCGTCGCCAATGAAGTGTTTTATTAAATAAAAGTAAGTAAAAGTATATTTAATACAAAATATCACGTATATATATATCATGAATTCAATCCTTCAGGTTATATAATTTACAAACGAAAAGTTAATATTATATTCAATTTAAATTCAATATTACAGTTCTTATATTTTTTTATTTTTTAGAATACATCCATTTTAGCTTCTGATGATATTCCCACTATTTCTAGAGAGTTGAACCTTATATTGACTCCTCTTCAGGTTCAAATTTATATTTTTTAAATTATTCTTTTGTTTTTATTTTAGATAACCCTGTCTTAACCTCATTTAATGATTGTACAGATAGTGATTTATCCATCATTAATGAAAGAAAAAGATGGCAAGTCAATCAACAAAAGAATAGCTATAGGGATTGTGAATCCCAGCAAAATATTCTAATAACACATAATAAAGTTTTGTATATATATACTAAAAAGGCATAAATGTTCTTATATTTTTTTATTTTTTAGAATACATCCATTTTAGCTTCTGATGATATTCCCACTATTTCTAGAGAATCTTGACTCCTCTGCAAGTTTAATGTATTCATTTTTTTAAAAATTTTTTATTTATTTTTATTTCAAACCCTGCTTTATTTCCTCCTTATAATTGTTTAAATATTGATATATCTACCATTAATAATCAACAAATGCAAAATAAATGTTCAGAAAAAAATGATAGTCTTGATAAGTCCCCAACTAGACAAATTTTATTTTTTGATGATAGCTTCTCAACTCTACTAGAGATATGCATATATTGACCCCTTTACAGGTTCACTACAGTATTTTAATGTTCTTTATTTCAATAATAATGTTTTATATTTTTGCCTGATATCCTTATATTTTAGGTTAACTCAAACTATCCCTCACATAGATACAAAACATGATATTTCTATTAAAGATAAGCAAAGAAAAAAATGGCGACTCAACAAACGCCTTACCCGTTCTAGAATTACAGGTATGCAGGATAATAAGGACCTACGTCTGATATTAACTCCCCTGCAGGTTTTTAATGTTTTATATATAGGTTTATTTTATATTCACCCAGATACCTTCAACTGATATTTCTATAACCACTACCACATTTTCTATGGCACCTTTACCATGCATATTTCGACATATATTTGATGACCACCACTCACCTATATTAAATATCGGAAACATGACAGAAATATGCGCCTTCTGCAATGCTAAAATGTAGAATGGAGAAAAATTATCAAAAAGCTCATGTAGAAATATTCAGTATTCTACATGTTGCTTGAATGGGAAGGTAATTTTATTTAAAATTTCTCAAATACCACCAAATTTATTACGTTTATTTACCGGGGATCATTGTTTATCATCCCACTTTTTAACAAACATAAGAGCATATAATTCCGCACTGTCATTCACTTGACTAGGAGTTAATATAAATAATAGTTAATCCAATTCGCGATCAGGTAATTATACCTTTCAAATTAATGGACAGGTTCATCATCGCATTGGTTCACTCCTACCAACATTAGAGAAACACCTAAATTTTCCCAATTATATATACATGATATTATAAATGAGATAGAAAACAGATAACCAGGTTCCGTTTTTAGATCGTTGTCTTTTAATGGAATTGCAGGATATTGTTCACACCTACAACTCCTTTGCTTCTCAATTTTTGAGAGTCCCTTCTATGATCGCTAATGGCGTTCCTAAGATATCCTTAAACTTAAAATCTAATCCAAGTTTTGACATACGTTATCGCAATAAACCTACCTTATCTGATATAGCAGTATTATTACCTGGTGATAGCAATGATCATATAGCCCATAGAGATATTATCTTAAAAGATCTAGTCCTTTAAGACGTATTAACGAGCTCCATTTCTCATACGATCCCTTGCAATAGGTTCTTCTATTTCCCAGAGGCGATATTGAATACCACCCATTCATTCATTATAGAAACTCAACTAATAAATATGTTACCTGCGGAGAGTACTATGCCTATCGCTTTATGGTCAGGCAGGATGATGAGAATGTTATTCTAAGATCCAAACGTCTTTTTCACCAATTTATCGTCGACAGTTATGCCAAACAGGAAACGCTTCGATTAAATTTTATACGTAATAATCCAAATTACGCGCCCAACTCTATCAAGGCATACATGATGCTATTATAGAGGGAGATACTAATGCTGACAATCTTGGCAGAAGAATAATTTTGCCCCTTTCTTTTACCGGTGGTCCAAGGCATATGCATCAACTTTATCAGGACGCAATGGCTATTGTACGCTGCTTTGATAAGCCATCATTATTCATTACTTTCACCTGCAACCCTAAATGGGATAAAATAATGCGTGAATTATTTCCTCATCAGACCCCAAACCACCGCCCAGATTTAGTTTGTCTCGTTTTTCGTCAAAATAAAATGTCTAAAAAAGAATTTGCTCTATTATCATGTTCTTGGCAGAGTAATCTCTCATATAGATGTCATAGAATTCCAGAAAAGAGGTTTGCCTCATTTTCATAAGCCTTATACTAGATAAATCTCATAGCAACGGCTGATACTTATGATGATGTAGTTTGTGCTGAGATTTCTAACAAAATAACTGAGCCTAAGCTGTTTCAAATTGTTAGATTTTTTAACACACATGGGCCATGTGGTATAACATTTCCTAATAGTCCCTGCATGATTGATGGAAAATGCTCAAAAAATATCCTAAATCATTTATGGATACCTCTCATATTGATAAGTATGGATATCCTTTATATCGGCGACGAAATGATGGCGTTACCTTCCAAAAAAAATTAAACGGATTTATATTTAACAACCTTTAGATTATTCATTATAATAAACATTTATCAAAAAAATATAATGCACATATAAATGTAGAAATTTGTTCTTCTGTCCAGTCCATAAAATACCTTTATAAGTATTGTTACAAAGGCCATGACAGAACTACTGCATCCCTTTCCATTAATAATGTCGATGAAACTACCCAGTTCATTGATGCTCGATATATATCCGCCACAGAATCGTATGGCGTACTCTGGATTTTGAAATGCAGGATCATTCTCCTTCAGTCTATCGTTTAGACCTCCATCTACCTAATCAACATTTGATCATTTTCCAATCAAATACTGATTTAAATGTAACTAAAAATCCTGGTAAAAAATTAAGAATGGTATAAAATTAATGATCTTGGCACAGATGCCAGACAATATATTTATGAAGATTTTGTAAGATATTATGTGTGGAAACCTCTATCTAAACAGTTGATAAAACGACAAAGGGGTGGTGATAAGGTTACGTATATGCACAATTTCTCCCAAAGAGAGTGTTTTTTATTTCAGACTATTACTTAATTATGTAGCTGGGCCAATATGCTTTAAAGATCTACTCTCTTTGAATTCAATTGTCAGTAATACTTTTAAAGATGCATGTATTCGACATGGTCTGTTAACAGATGATGCGGAACGGAACCATTGTTTAGAGGAAGGTCTTTCATTTAAGATGTCATATCAATTGCACCAGTTATTTTCTGTTCTTTTATTACATTGTTAGCCGAGAGATCCTCTAGGTCTATGGAATTTTTTTAAATTTTATCTTTGTGAAGATTTTGCCAAAATATCATCAGAGCCGGATAACCTTATCAACGAAAATCTCGCGCTATGCCACATCAATCAAACTTTGATTCAAAATTGTAAATCTCTTAAGGATTTTTTGGGAAGGCCTATCCCTTTATTATCCACTCAATCTCCATCTGCTACAGCTAATATTAGGTGTCACCTTATTCGGGAGGAAATTTCCTACGATACAGTAGATATGTATAAAAAATATTTGGCTAACCACAATTTATTTAATCGGGATCAAAATATTATCTATACCAAAATTATGTTCTTGCTCTCCATTCCATCCTATAATTTATTTTTTATAGATGGTCCTGGTGGTACTGGAAAATCATTTCTATTAAATACAATATTATTTAACTTGAGAGCTCAAGGTAAAACTGCAATAGCTGTTGCATCTTCTGGCATTGCTTCAACTCTTCTTCATAATGGCCGTACTGCACATTCACGTTTCAACATCCCCATAAGCATTCAAGAGAAAGTTCCTCATGTAATATTCCTTACCAAAGACAAATGGCTGAATTGATAAGAGAATCGGTAATTATAATATGGGACGAAATATCAATGGCTTATAAACATATTATCGAGGCCGTAAATAGGTCATTTCAGGATATAATGAAATTAGATAAACCGTTTGGTGGTAAAATTATTATTTTTGGTGGGATTTTAGACAGATTTTACCTGTTATTAAACTTGGCGGAAGATGCGACATTGTTAACTCAACCTTAAAACGATCATATTTATGGTCGCATATAGTGCCATTAAGGTTGGGTATTAATATTGTCATAATTGGGAGACTTTGATTTGTAAAATTTGATTTTTGGTAAAGTCAGTATGTATTGCGTTTGATGAGTCATTTTTATTTTTATAATTTTATGTTTTAGTTAAATTGGTGAGTCATTGTTATTTTTAGAATTTTATGTTTAGTTTAATCGCGTTAACATTTTATTTTTAGATTTATAAAAGTTAATTATTGTAAAGTCATTATGATGATAGGATTTAATTATTTATTTGTGATGATTATTGCTTCTTTATAAAAGGGAAGCGAAAATTGTAAATAATAAATTCATTTCTTTTTTTTGAATTCATTTTTTTTTTGAATTCATTTTTTTTTTGAATTCATTTTTTTTAATTAATTTTTTTTAACGATTATTATTATAAAATTATTGTTTGTTTTTTTTTTGGTTTGATAATAAATTTATTTTGGATTGAAATAAAGTTGGGATTACTCGAAATCATTGTGGTGGAAAATTTTAACAATAGAATAAGAAAACTTTAGACGGTCACAACGTGATAAATATGAGACTTCTACAATTTCAGGAAGCAAATGATTATCTTTTAATTATAAATACTCAAAATTTCTTTTAAGAGTTGGTGAAGGCTATGAAACATTTGATGGCTCCAGGGATAAAATAAAAATTCCTGAAGATTTTTGTATAGCTTCCAATGATATCGAGGATTATATTTCTTTTGTTTACGATATAGACTAAGACAATACGTCCTTTAACCGAACATCATTTGCTCAAAATGCAATTCTGACCCCTAGAAACGTAAATGTCGATTCTATAAATATTAAATTGATTAACAAAATTCCGGGGGATTTAATTACATACATAAGTGCTGATGAAACGATAATCGAGGATGAAGCGACGTTTTATCCCACTGAATTTTTAAACTCTTTAAGTATATCAGGATTACCACCTCACAAACTTTTACTCAAAGTCGGGGTACCTATAATATTAATGCGTAACTTAAATTCTGCTTCTGGTTTGAATAATGGGACTAAATTGATTATAATTTCTTTGCTACCAAATATAATTGAGGCGGAATTGTTTCTGGTAGTTTTCTCAGTACTAAAGTTCTCATACCTAGAATAAGTTTAATTCCGACAGATTCTGGCTTGCCATTTTCCCTTAAGCGCCTCCAATTTCCCGTGAGACCTGCATTTGTCATGACAATAATAAAGCTCAGGGACAAACGTTGAACAAAGTTGGCATCTATTTACCTCATCCTGTTTTTTCATATGGACAGCTATATGTGGCTATGTCTCGAGTTTGTTCTCCTCATAAATTAAAGATTATAACCAATGATAAAACAAGTACTACAACCAATGTGGTATAACATGAGGTTATATCCGATTAATCCCGGTTTATAAGAATAAGAAAGATTACTTAGTATGATATTATATTATAATTTAAACAATTTTATATTATTTAAGCATCCTGTCGGGCCGCTATCTCAGATGAATATTTTGTCTAACTATTAAAGATTATACAAAGTTCATTTTTAAAGTTAAAGATTATAATCCAATGATAAAACAAGAACTACAACCAATGTGGTATATCATGAGGTTATATCCGAGTAATCCCGGTTTATACGAATAAGAATGAACATTACTTAGTATATTATTTTATAATTTAAGCAATTTTATATTATTTAAGCATCCTTTTGTCGGGCCGCACAATATGCCCTTTTATCTCTGATGATAATATTGTCTAATTGAAAATTATACAAAGTACATTTTTAAAATTTAACTAAATTAATATAACAATTTTTAAGGATCCTACTTTTTTAAAAGCTTACCATTTTGTTGGATCCACTATTATGCAGGCCGAAGGCCAGCAAAAATTTTTTTTTAGCAATTTTTATAATCCTATCGCAATTTTTATATTTCTCCCGCAAAATATCAAATTTCTCCTTCAATTTGGAAATTTTGACCTGGCAACCCTGTATTTTACTTTATATTCAGCTATTAACTAGAAGCCTAAAAAATTGTACATACATTTTGTAAATTCTCTAATACCAGAACCTGAATTTTAAGCATTCAATTGATAATTTTTCTAAAATGAGATAGCTTGGGGGGGGGGGGGGTAGCTCTAATGGGACGATTTTTTTGAAAATTTATAATCATATACAAATTTTCTTTAAAAATAGTATTAAGAAAAGATATTTATTATCAAAATAAGGAATTCTTAGAGTTTCAATATTTAAAAGGTTTAATTTTACATCCCAGAAATTATTAATTTTCTGCGCAATTCTTTTAAATATGATTTAAAAAATAATTCTTATTGTTTGATAGTTTAAATATTTATTCTGAGCAATTAAGGATATGTTATTTTTCGTACCATTACAGTTTTTTAATTCTCTGGTGATATAGGAGACTAGAATTGCGAATTGACTTAAGCTTTAGAAATAAGGGATTTATGAGTTTGACTAACTTCATTCAGGCGTAATGTTTAAATTTTTTTATAACTGATTACCTATTATATGGTTGATAAAACAGTAATAGATAAATTGTTAAGTAGTATTCAAGCAATTAATATTAACACAAGTTAAATATTCTATGGAGTTTGAAACGCTAAATTATAAGGTAAGGTTTTGAATATTTAAAAAAAATATTGTTTAACTATCAAAATATTTAAAAGTGGCTTCTAGATACCGATTCTTAGATTAACGAAGTTCCCAGGATATTATGCAATAAACATTTTCTTGTTAAACCCGGTTTTGTAACCGATTCATTGTCATTCCAGTATCCTATATACAATGGGGTTACATATTCTGTTTTCAGTTTCAAGATTTGCCCCGTTTCGTTAAATAAAAAGTTTTTTTCTACCTATTAGTACATTTTGACTAAGAACTAAATTAATCTATATTTTGTTTTATCTGATAACTTCTAATTTAATATGGGATAATAATTTATTGAATATTATTTATATATATAAATCTTATCTTAGTATGTTACTCTTTAATCTGCCCAATGACATGAATTATAGGAGGGACCCATTCACTGTTTAATTATGCTAGTATATTTATATACATAGAGGAGTTATAATAAGTCAGAGTGAAACTAAACCAACCATATAAAAACAAATATATTCTAAGCGTCGCTATTCTTACTGGAATATATGCGCTGATTATTACTATGTTATTTGGCAAACAATCATAATATAAAACAGTTTCTTAATAAAAATCAATGACGTAAATTATTTAATGTTTATAAAATAGAACAACAATCATTAACATAAAAAATTATTCTCTTAATTATCATGTTTTGTAAAAAATCTCTTTTTTGTGATGGGTCTATGGACCAAATGAATGAAGGCAGAATTACAGGAAAAGAGTGCGCTTCACCAAAATGGGGTAAAATTGTTTAAATTAATATTTTAATTAAATATAATTTTAAAAATATTTAGATAAATTTAAGATTCCATGGAGAGTTATATCTAAAAGATTCGGCGGTGGCAAGCACACTCTTTTAAAGAAAGATGATGCACCGGATGGTGAAAGGTATGTGAAAGATGGAGAGGAAGAATGTGAGGCTAGGTTTCTTGCGAGATATGATTCGCAAGAAGGTTGCAGCAAGGCCTTTGACGGGTAACCGATTAATTTATTTATAGTATAAAGTCGAAGTCTGTAAAGAGCAGATTTTAACCCGTAAACTTGCGTCTATTATTTAAAAAAATAACCCAATGGCCAGCCCGCCAATGGTTTTTTAAAGTTTTCATGTCGGTCTGCCGATTTATTGCAAAAATATGTTTGATCTGTTCTTCCGCCCAATGTTTTAAAATTATTTTATGTTTATTTGATTCCTTATCAAATCTTTGCTAATATATTTATCAATTTATACTTATATGATTCAACATTATGAAATAACAAGAAAATTTTTAGTATATAGAATTCTAATCTACCTTTTTTAACACATGCTAACCCGCTCAATATTAAAATTATTTAGCTAGCCACGCCCGCATGCGGAATGGGCGAGAGTGGGTCGGCGAGCTTAATACCTATTGCAGGTCTCAAGTAAGATATGAAAAACAAGAGATAAAAGATATTTAAAATAAAAATAATGACTCTATTTTCTTTTCAATATAATGTAAATTTTATTTTAGGGAGAAGAAGGCCGCGATTATTGAGACCATTATTGGAGAAGGGAGAGATAGACCAAAGTGGGGTAAAATTGTTTAACTCTAATTTAAAAATTTTAAAAATATTTAGTAAAGTTTAAAAAGCCATGGACGGCGATTTTTAATAGGTTCGGCAATGGTAAGCCGAACCTCAAAAAGAAGACAAAACTAGCGAAACAAGGAAAAGATTATATCAAAGGTCACACGGATATTGACGATACAATTCTCTCTGGATGTGTTTCACCGGGAGGATGGAAGAAGGCATATTACAAGTACCTAATTAAATCAAACAATTATATTATAATGTAATATTTAAGTTTGCAAAACAAGAGAAATGAAAAAACAAAAAAAAAATATATAGGAAAAGTGAAAATTAAAATAAGAGATTTAACATTATTTTTTTTTTCAAGTTTAAAACAGTTAAGATGCAAAAATAAAATTATTTTTAGGTTAAAAAAAGATGAACAGAAGTTAATTGCGCGGAGGAAACACACCCATGAAAAGACTCAATGTACCCCTCCTAAATTTGGTAAAATTGTTCATATTATTTCATTTTTTAAAATAAAGTTTTAAATATATTTTAGAAAGGTTCCGCCAACCTTGGAAAGCCTTAAAAAATTGGGCCTGCCGTAATAAGGGCCAAGAGAAAATATGGGATATTGATGAAGGTAATAATTGATAAATAATTAGATTTCATTGTGATTCTGAATTCCAATTCTGAGATTTTGAGAAATAAATCTAGATTAGTTATTCCTCTGCTTATTTGTAATCTTATTTTATTTTATTTGAAGTATATTATAAATTTTTTTTTTATAAAACCTGTTTAATTTGGGTAACTCTTTAATTTGAACACTTTTTCAGTCCAACTCAAATTCCTATTAAATAATAATAGAAATACTTTAATAAAGTGGGCAATTGTCAAAAGAAATATAGGGAGTTATCTATCATTAATTATAAAAAAAATTAGTCTATTATATTTAAGTACCATACTTTAAAAAGAATCTGCTAAACCATATAATATATTTAAAAGAGCTGTTTACAATATTCTCATATGAAACGCCCAATCAAATTAAGCATATTATACCAAATAAACATACCAATCACATTTTATTACAGTTGAGCAAACGCTAAATGTCGGATAATATAATCTATATGCGCGTACAGGTGAAATACGTTAACATTAAAGAATTTAATGTAAATTAGTTTCTTTCCAATTTGAACTACTGTAATTTTAAGAAAAACCCAGAGGGAGTTGGACTGAAAAAGTGTTCAAATTAGGGAGTTACCCAAATTAAACAGGTTTTATAAAAAAAAATTTAAATATTATACTTTAAATAAAATAAAATAAGATTACAAATAAGCAGAGGAATAACTAATCTAGATTTATTTCTAAAAATCTCAGAATTGGAATTCAGAATCACAATGAAATCTAATTAAATTTATCAATAATTACCTTCATCAATATCCCATATTTTCTCTTGGCCCTTATTACGGCAGGCCCAATTTTTTAAGGCTTTCCAAGGTTGGCGGAACCTTTCTAAAATATATTTTAAACTTTATTTTAAAAAATGAAATAATATGAACAATTTTACCAAATTTAGGAGGGGTACATTGAGTCTTTTCATGGGTGTGTTTCCTCCGCACAAACTTCTGGTCATCTTTTTTAACCTAAAAATAATTTTATTTTTGCATCTTAACTGTTTTAAACTTGAAAAAAAAAATAATGTTAAATCTCTTATTTTAATTTTCACTTTTCCTATACACTTTTTTTTGTTTTTCCATTTCTCTTGTTTTGCAAACTTAAATATTACATTATAATATAATTGTTTGATTTAATTAGGTACTTGTAATACGCCTTCTTACATCCTCCCGGTGAAACACACCCAGAGAGAATTGTATCGTCAATATCCGTGTGACCTTTGATATAATCTTTTTCTTGTTCCGCTACTTTTGTCTTCTTTTTGAGGTTCGGCTTACCATTGCTGAATCTATTAAAAAAAGCCATCCATGGCTTTTTAAACTTTACTTTATATTTTTAAAAATATTTTTTTAAATTAGAGGTAAACAATTTACCCCACTTTGGTCTAGCACTCTCTCTCCTTTCTCCAATAATGGTTTCAATAATCGCGGCCTCCTTCTCCCTAAAATAAAATTTGCATTATATTGAAAAGAAAATAGAGTCAGATCTCTTATTTTTATTTTAAATATCTTTTATCTCTTGTTTTTCATATCTTACTTGAGACCTGCAATAGGTATTAAGCTCGCCGACCCACTCTCGCCCATTCCGCATGCGGGCGTGGCTAGCTAAATAATTTTAATAGCGGGTTAGCATGTGTTAATAAAGGTAGATTAGAATTCTATATACTAAAAATTTTCTTGTTATTTCATAATGTTGAATTATATAAGTATAAATTGATAAATATATTAGCAAAGATTTGATAAGGAATCAAATAAACATAAAATAATTTTAAAACATTGGGCGGAAGAACAGATCAAACATATTTTTGCAATAAATCTACAGACCGACATGTAAACTTTAAAAAACCATTAGCCGGTATTTTTTTAGGTTAACCCAAACTTGATCCCTCACATAGATACAAAACATGATATTTCTATTAAAGATAAGCAAAGAAAAAAATGGCGACTCAACAAACGCCTTACCCGTTCTAGAATTACAGGTATGCAGGATAATAAGGACCTACGTCTGATATTAACTCCCCTGCAGGTTTTTAATGTTTTTTATATATATAGGTTTATTTTATATTCACCCAGATACCTTCAACTGATATTTCTATAACCACTACCACATTTTCTATGGCACCTCTACCATGCATATTTCGACATATATTTGATGACCACCACTCACCTATATTAAATATCGGAAACATGACAGAAATATGCGCCTTCTGCAATGCTAAAATGTAGAATGGAAAAAAATTATCAAAAAGCTCATGTAGAAATATTAAATATTCTATATGTTGCTTGAATGGGAAGGTAATTTTATTTAAAATTTCCCAAATACCACCAGATTTATTACGTTTATTTACCGGGGATCATTGTTCATCATCCCACTTTTTAACAAACATAAGAGCATATAATTCCGCACTGTCATTCACTTCACTAGGAGTTAATATAAATAATAATTAATCCAATTCGCGATCAGGTAATTATACCTTTATGGACAGGTTCATCATCGCATTGGTTCACTCCTACCAACATTAGGGGAAACACCTAAATTTGCCCAATTATATATACATGATATTATAAATGAGATAGAAAACAGATAACCAGGTTCCGTTTTTAGATCGTTGTCTTTTAATGGAATTGCAGGATATTGTTTACACCTACAACCCCTTTGTAGGCCCTAACTAAAAATCGAATAAAAAACTATTCTCTTTGCGAATGCTACAATCTACAAAAATGATGTCCAAAAAAAATATATATTTGAAAATAATTTTATCATATAAAAGTTAAAGTTAGTGGCAATACAATTTTCACAAAAAAAAAATATTTTCGTGATTGATATATTAATAAGTAATTGTGGTTATTATAAAAATATTTCTAAAAAATAAAATCTATTTTATATTGATAAAAAAATTTAATTCAATTTTTTAATCAACTTTGTATCCGAAATCGATGAAAATTTACCCGTATAATTAGATGATATAATTGTAATAATAATAAATGACAATATAGCCTGAACTGCGAAGGGTATAAAATAAGGGGCAAGATGACGCGAAATCATAAGTATAGGTAAAATTGCTATGACTGGTTTTATAAAAAAAATTAGGTTTTTCGCGAAATTTAATATAATACTGGTGTCCTTAATTCTAAAAATTATATATTCCGAATGACAACAGAGTAATACAGACAGCGGTCTTAAGATCCATTCGATAATTACACGAATTTTATCAGGATTAATTTTATTCGAAATTATCGAGGCAAACATAAAAATCAATAAAAATACTAAAATATATACTCTAAGACACAGATAAAGGTGATAAGAGGGCGAAAAAGTTCTCAAATAATAAAAAGGTCCCCAAAATACCTCCTTTAAGGGTTGAAAAGGGTGGTAGCCTAACAACGACAAATACAAATTGTAAATAGTCGAAACATCGTAAGGGATGAGGCCCAACAGACTCAGAGTAACGTAAGAGGAAACGGATGGTAACAAAGATTTGCGCGATTTATCAGTAGTCAGGAGGGACAATGATGCCGACAAGAGAATAATGTAAGTAATGAAGGCGGAAAAAAAATTCGCGACGAAATAAAGGAGAGCGTAAAATGCGAATCTGGCGTAAATAGTTCTTAAAAAAAAATTTGGAGGTAGTTGAGCTTGGGCGGATAGAAATTTAGAAAAAACGATACGGTTCCTGATATATAAAATGGAAGAGAGAACCCAAAATATTAGAAGGTATAGGGATAATGTCGCGACCTGAGATATAACTAGTAAAAGTAAATGGTTAGCTAAAGATAACCGTGGCAAAAAAATATCGTAACCAGGAATGCTAAGAAAATTCAAAAATCTGATACTGAGTATTGATGTCATATAAGATGAGTAATGCGATATCAAGGCGAATGTCATCATTTTGATAAAGTATCGAGAGTTACTATTGTTAAAAGATTTAGTAGGTCGGCACGCAATTAAGGATAACACGATAGCGAAGGATAGGCCGCGTTGATACAATTGATAGCTCTGGTGCAAAAAAATGGATTTTAAACTATGCAACCAGATAACGCGGGTCGTAATTCGGTATCGCAAGGTGCAATTCCTAAGGAACGAAGACGTTGAGAGGATCAGAGTTAAACATGGCAAGGAATTTGGAGCCAGCAATGACGATTGTAGGAACAATTGTATATTTCGGGACATTAATAGTTTTGACGGTGTTTCCTTCTTTGAAGAAGTTTTAAGGGGAGGTTTTTTGAGATAAAATGTCCAAAATCTGTCGTGTTCTATATCACGAGGATTATTGACCGAAAATCGAATAGTAACCTTTTAAAATATAGGGAAGAATAGATAAAAATTGTATTAGATAATAACAAAAATATTTACGATAATTTTAATTATTAATTCTTTTATTTAAATTATAAAATATGCAAAAAAATCTAATTTTATAAAAAAAGAAGGAAGTAATAAAACCGAAAATCGAATAGTAACCTTTTAAAATATAGGGAAGAATAGATAAAAATTGTATTAAATAATAACAAAAATATTTACGATAATTTTAATTATTAATTCTTTTATTTAAATTATAAAATATGCAAAAAAATCTAATTTTATAAAAAAAGAAGGAAGTAATAAAACCGAAACGTTAGTGTTTTCAGCCCAACCATTCAAACCGGAAAAGGAGTTTTCTGTTGATGGAACGAGATAAATGTTAATACCGACCGTGTAAGCCTTCCATACTTCATTTAGGTTTGGGAAGTAAAATATAAGAACTCGCTTCTTACTCTGTTTATTTTATTCAAAAAATAATAATCCTCAATTTGAGAAATTATATTATATATAAAAAAAATAATAATGTGAGGTAATTTATTACGTGTTAAGGCTCATTTAAAAGAAAAGTTCAAAATAAGAATTAATTTGATTTATTCCAGAAGATTCAAAATAGTGATCTGCATCTGGCCTATTTTTTCAAGCCCGGGCGGAATTTTTTTTTAAAAAAAATAGTCCAACCCGGCCCGACCCAGAACGAATTTTGTTTTTATTTGTCCCGAAAAGCCCGATCCGAAATAAAATTATTTGTCTGCCCTACCTGGCCCGAATTTAATTAAATGCAGAAAAATTTAATTTTTTTTATTGTAAAAAAAAATATTAGTGCCTTGTCTCTTGCATGAATTTAAAAATATATCAATTAATTTGACAAATGTAATGATATCATATTTAAAAATTTAAATCCATCCCGAAATTTAAAAAAAAATTATTTGGCCCGACCCACCCCAAAATTTTTTAAAAAATATTAGGCCCTATCCAGCCAGAACCTAAATTAATTTTTTAAATAGACCCGGCCCGGCCCAAAACGTTCGGGGCCTGGTGATTTGCATGTCTCTAATTCACACATTAAAGTGTACACGCATCGAAGTCCACCATTAAAAAGGCATTTTAGGTCAAATACCTTTCGATAGCGTCTACTACAACCAATAACAGTGATTATAATAACTGATGTCAATGCATGTAAATGTTTAATAAATGAATCGTCTTTGGTTAGTATTAATGTCATTGATTTTATCAAAGATGCACGATTCTTGGAATAGACGCCGATTATCATCGTTTTAAGATATGGGCAATTATAGACTATATCAATATTTAATATACAGAAAAAATAATAATATTTTATATGTATGGTAGAAAAAAAATATTTTACTATAAGAGAAGTGGGATCCTATCGCCCCCCACCCCCTCATCTTTGCCAAATTAATTTGAAATGATGTATATTACGTAATAAATGTGTCTCGAGAATTTGTATAAATTGAACTTTATTTATAAATATTTTAATATGTAAAATATGATGAGCAATTATAACAAAAAAAAATCAAAGAATCTATACTATCGGAATCGGATTGTATTGATATTTACAAAATTATTTGACGATTATATATTTTACAAAAGCATAGAACAGAAAAAAAATATAGGATTGCATGACTAGATTTTATTTAGACGATATAACAAAAAAAAAAGTTAAAAATAAGAACAAGATGTTTGAACAATGAAATGGCAACAAAAAAAATTTATCATGATTGACTAACTTCGAGGTCTACTTTGTTAGAGTTCGTTACAGTTGATTCTAACGTATCAATATAAAGGTCATTAATCAGAAAATGGTTTGATGGAAATGGTAGTGAAAAGTTGATGAGCATAACCAAATTCGTAGCCAAGAGTTGACTCATCTCTTGGTGGTGATTTTCGTTGCTCCAATCGAGTTCTAGGATGTAATTAGCTATATGTTTGTTGTGAGGCATTCTAGGAATTCTCTAAAATTTAGAAGATAAAATTATGTAGGGTTATCAGAAGCTGTTAAGGTCAATGTATAGTTTGAACATCACGGGTCGATCTTTGTGAACAAGATAGTCTCGAATTAGAGGTAGCCGAATGTAAACTTAGATAAATTCTGTCGGGTGTCTATGGATAATTATAACTCCAAAAAACTGCGAATTGCTCAATTTAATATTTTATTTTCAAAATATAATCATGATCTTAAAACTACTTAATAAGAATTTTAAAAAAAATCAAAGAGAAAAAAATGAATATTTGTCTAGGGCCATTTCCGGTTTTTGTTTACTAATAAACTCAAAATATATGTAATTTAAAAGATCTAATTTTAGGCTACCTAAGACACTTTAAATGGATATTTTAACCCTAACCCTACAAAATATTAGCAATTTAAAATATTAATGTATTGCTATAATTTGTCACATTGCCAGCTCATATCTGAGTCTGAGAGAGTTTAACAAAAAAGAAATATTCTTAATCTCCATAACGTTCATCTATCCATATACAAAATTTAAAATAAATTTTTAGAGGGTCTGGCCCGAAAATTTAGATTTTTTTGGAATTTTTCATGGATTGCGTCGTCACTACAAGTTTATGCAAAATAATAAAGTAGATTTACCTGTATAACCAAGTTAGGTGTTCCAACATGCCCATTCTTCAGTAAATCGACGAACCCAGTAAAATTTTGCTGCCGAAGCAAAAATATATTATTTTCTTGTTGTTTTAAGCTTTCGACACTGAGCAGAATTATCAATTTACGAGATAATTTTATCAAGGATGTGTCTGAATATCCGAGTGGTATGAGAATTAAGTTGATATTGGAACTGACACTGAATATGTTAAGAAGCTGGGAATCTGACTTAAAGCGATATAATAAGAAATTATATATAGTATAAATATAAGGACTGTGCCGATCCACATATTTTTAACCGATCCGATATTAGTTCAAACCCAATCCGATACCGATCCGATATTTATATTGATATTTCATCACCCCCCTTTGAACCAAATGTAATTAAAAATTCAATATTTTTTATGCAAAAAATCGAATTATGCATTTAATTTAATTTTTTTATTTCTACAATAATTAAAAAAGGTTTATGGATATTGGTAGTAGTGATCTGCATCGAATTTTTCAAGCCCGACCCGAACCAGAAATTTTTTTTAAAAAAATTTACCAGCCGGCTTAAATTTATTTAAATATAGATATTAATTTTTATTATGCAAATGATATATGTTATATGGCGGCTAGTTTCTAAAAATATAATCAAATATTTTTATTTTACATTAAAAATTCAACATAAAATTGATAAATTTAGATATATTAAAAAAAATTTCCAAAACCCGGCCCAGCCCAAACGAACCCGATATATTTTTAAAAAAATAGTTAAGTACGGTCCGGGCCTACATTTGCAGATCTCTAATTGGTAGTATTAAATGAAATTTATTATTCCTCCCCGTGAAATTAGAATCCCGCAGATAACGCATTTTGCAAAATGGATCCAAAATTCAGATACCATTTTTAAAAAAATATTCTATTTAAAGTAAAAATAATAAAATTGGCGTTATTATTTAAAAAGATTTAAAATAAATAAAACTTTGAGTGTTCATTTTTATTTTTATAAAAAAAACTTTGAAAATACTATAAACCTATTTAAAAAAATAAATAATTTAAGGGGTGATGTGCATTTGCATTGTTTAAAAAAAAATTATTTAGATAATATTATTAATGTAAAATAAATATACATAAAATAACAAAAAAGAAAAGTAAAGAGATCAAATAGGTTTTTTACAGGTATTGGCCCGATCCTTTATTTTTTAGAAAACGCCAAATATCGATGCCGATCCGATATATCGGCACAGCCCTAGCATATATCGTAGAATTTTTTTTAAAGGATAAGGATAGTTCATATTAAAATGATATTTATAAAAGTACTAATTGCAATGGTAATTCAGACTTTTTTAGCTCCAAAACATTCCACATATCATTGTCAGATTTGTTGTCAAGAGAATTTTGAAAGGTGATAGGAATCTGGAAAGCCCCTTGAAAATAAGATTGGATAATGTTCAAATGCTCTTCTTGGGTGATTAAATTTCCATCGTTTATAGTATTAACCCTATAGTTTTGTTTCATGGAATTAAAACTTTTTATTTTGGCATTAAATTACTTGAATTACTAGAATTGCCAAAATTTAAAAAATAAATAAAATTGAATAATTATATATTATCTAAGATTTTAATTATTATATTATAAAGATTAAGGTTAAATCATAAAAAATATTTCTGTAGGTAAATATCTACCTCATGTTCTCCTAAATATAAACTATTTTTAAAAAAAATTGTTATACAACTGGCAATGTGTATAATTATAAAATTGACAGAAATTTATAGGTAGGGGAGACCGGGGTAAAACGATAGGCATTTTGCATATTTACCATAAAAATTTTAAACAAGAGTCAAACACAACAAATTATAGATCAATGTGTAGCCCCATCTCTCTTCTACAAGATAAAAAAAAGTGTAGCCCTCTACCTATAATATTTTAGGAGCTATGATTAGTTATGTAAAACTACTCATTTTCACAGGGTAAAATGGATAAGCACTAGGGTAAAGTGGTTAAAATAATATTTGACACATATTTATTGTTTTATTTAACAAATATTATAAATTTAAGATTTTTTTATGAAAATTATTTAAAAACTAATCGATACAATAAGGACATGTAAAATAATTATCATAATTAGCACATTTAGAATGTGCCCATTCAAGGCACATTGTACATTTTAGCCATTCATCGCCCTCGCGACTATTTTTATAGTTTTTATTACAAATAACACATAAACAATTATTTTTTGATATCTTTTTTTTCTCTGAATTAATAATTTTTTTTTATAAGGTGTAGATGTTAATATTTCTGAATTCTTTTTTTTAGATATTTTATCCGATGAAATATTGAATAATTTTGGAATAGGTATTATAGATGAAGGAATGAATACTTTATTATAATTTTTTGAGCATGATGGTAACATATCATGATAAGGTTCATCAATATCATCTGGAACATTTTCGTTCAATAATATAGATAAATCACTATCATTATTTTGAGTCACTGTAAGATTTTGAGTCACTCTAATATTTTCATCATTATTTTCAAATTCAATATTTGAGTTAGCATTTGAATTATTACAGCAGATATAATCTTGTTCTGTAAATATATTTGGGTTTAAAGGAAATATGCCACATGCTAAGAATCCATTTAATATATTATTTGATGTCACTGCCCTTGGTATTTCATTTTTTAACACTCCTGGAATATCATAAATCTGAAATTGTTGCCCCACATGATATTTAGATTGAGCATTATTAAAATTATGAAATACAATATAATTTCAATTGAGCATTTTTATTAAAGTTACCAAATTAATATTGATATTTAAATTGAGTTATTAAAATTATGAAATATAATATAATACAAACAATATAATTTAATTACTTGTTTAGGCGTTAATCCCATAAATGACCTACTTGCTTCTAATATGTAGTCACACAATCTAGATTCTTCTTCATTTGTAAATATTTGTTTATGATGATCTGAACTTTTAATACCAATTTTACATCTCCTTCTCAACGTTGTATAAGGTATGTTAAATTTTTTAGCAGACAAATTTAATGAAGTATTATTTGTTATTTTATATTTTATGGCTTCATTTATTATATTTACATCTCTGTATATGGTTTTTCTTTTATAATTTCTCATTATTTGATTGATACAATAAAAATTATAATAAATGAATTAATGAAAAATTAATGTGAATAATTTTATATATTAACCGTTTTACCCATAACAGCTTTACCCCTAGGTGACATATATTATAAATATCGTTATTGCGTGACTTCTAATATAGCTAAAGATGTCAGATAAATTTTATTTTATAGCTAATACATTAAGGAACATGTGTGCCAAATTTTGAATCCTGAGGATATGTAAATTTTACTAAAGCAAAATATACTAGAGAATGATTTTTATATTTTTTGGGTAAAAAACAGTTTTTTGACAAAATATATAAAACCAGGTAAGTTTTTTAAAAGATGAACATAGGTAAGAAATTAGATATAAAAATACATCTTCACACCAAATTTAAGGTCTTTATACTCAATGGTTAAAAAGTTATTCGCGTTAACATTGTTACCCCGTCAATCGCTTTACCCCGGTCTCCCCTACATGCATCAATGTATTTCCCTTAAAATATAGTTTTTATTTAAAGATCTAATTTTACTAAAGAAATGTATTACAGTATATATCCTAATGGTAACGAATTTTTTGATAAAACGAGTTTTATATTTTAGTCTTAAACTGTAAATAACATTATTCTATTACTCATATATTCACAGCTTTTATAAAAACTTATGTAAAAACAATTCATAATGACTGCACATTATCATTAATCAAATATTTTTTTAATGAGGATTGATATCTATGTGTGGAGGAAATTTATATATTTTTTTTATAAACTTTCCCATTTTTCTAAGCATTTTAAAAAAATGAATATTTTTATCCAGTATCCTTTAGCCTGGGGTTCTGGATCTTTATGCTTAGGATAGTTTTTATTGATGGCCCAAAACTTTAAGCAAGTCTGCCCATATCCAATATTAGGAAGGCATACTATAGAGATCTAATTCAGGGTTCGAATGCATATTGCCAATAATATAAATAGTTCAAATCTAATTTAATATTTTTTCGATAATACCTTTCAATGTATCTTGTTAGCAATTTTATCAATTGGTTACACCAAGCAATACTCAAGTGGTCATTACTCAACCAAATCCGTGGTATGGTATCAGTGGAATAGTGCAATATAGGTTGATTTTCATGATTCATCAAAAGCGCTGGCTCTAGATAACAATAATAGTTTGGAACTAATTCATCTCTAGGCCCCCCACTTATGGAGACTATAAAAGGAATAGTTTTGGTCATATTTTTTTTAATCCAAAAAGAATTGATTTTGTGATAGTATGAATTAATACCAGTGTCCCACCATAAAACTGTTAATAAATTTATGTTTATTTTACAAAATTGTAACTTTCAAGAAATTTTTTTTTACCTGATTCTTTATGAGGAGTAGCTAGGGTTATTATGATTATGTTTTTTAGTAAAGAGGTAATATTTATATTCATTAAAATATTTCTAATAATAATACCACCCTATAAAATATAAATAAATCTTATTGATTCAAATAAAATTATATATAACTAAAGAATGACCAATTAAAACAATAGTTTTTTCATTTTTATATTTCTTTAACAAATATTTCAATACTTGGCTTGAAAATTCTAAGAAAATTAAAATATATTTTCTTATTTATTTACTAGTTTGTCTGTTTAATATATACCCACTAAATGCATTTTTTTCCTTATAGGAATAAATTTATAATAGAAAAATATAATATAACTTCTTTAAAATCAATTGTGTATATTTCATATTTATGAATTAATCCTAAATCCATTTTGTCCAATAATATTGATGCAATTGATCTAACTTGAATTAAAAAAAATATTAAAAATTGTGAACTTAGCCTCTACCTTGCTTGTAACTACCAGAATTACCAGGGAAAAATAATACAGGAGTGCCTTTAAATTTTATTTTCCTATTCAAGAAGGTTTAAAACATGAAATTATTTTTTAAATTCACTTATATGGTAAATGCCTAATTAAATATATATATTTAATATATATAATATTAGTAATTACTCTTCAAAATAGTTATATAATTTGTATGGATATTGATTCAAGTATGGCAATAAAATTTCCTGAATTTATTAAATATAATTACAGAAATCGAAAAATGTTGAACTTTAAATATGGGTCTACCAAACATATGTGTCATAAGACATTTGTTCTTATCTTGTGTTGATGTTAAGCAACTGGATATTTTTACCATAATACATAAAATTCTTAAAAAATTTAAATCCATATGAAAAACTAACTCCTTATCTCGATATAATTAAGGTGAAAATTGACAGTTAAAGTGAGAATTATGGACAGATATACAATTCGTTTTATTTTATAGGCAATCAACTTTATGGACACAAAGACGAACATTTTTCTAACAGTCATTAAAATAATAATATATAAATAAATATTAATTCAAAATAAATTTTATAATAATAATTCAACCATAAGTGAAGAGCAAATTGTTTCTACCATTTATATGAAAATTTATGCGATGTTTTAAATATGAAAGGATTTTTCCAGCTCTTGCATCTTTATGCCTCGAGTGCAGCATTGAAACTACTATTCGTGTCTTATTACCTGGGATCATAATACAAAATTAATAAAAGGTATTAATATCATGTAGGAGTTGCATGATATACACAAAAAATTTGACTGCATTTTTTCCAAATCATTTTTAACAACATTACAAAAATTTATATATATATACTTAGAAAGTACAGTAAAATCTCAATCTATAAAACTTTATCTTTCAAGAAATCTCGATTTTAACACTTTCTCTTCAGCCTCAGATTATATATAAATTAAAAGATAAAAAAAATCTCTATCTAGAAATTTTCTCTTTCTAGAAGACCTTCTGCACCTAGAGTATTTCGTGCCTGTAGAACACGCGTTCTATCTAAAATATCTGCACTTTCTAGAACACATTCTCCATCTAGGTGTATTTCCTCTCTCTTAAACACCTTCTACATGTAGAGTGTTTTCTTTCATGAAAACCTCATTCATCTAGAATATTTACTTTTTCTAATTCACCTTCTCCATCTAGAGTATTACTCTCTCTCTAGAATGTAAAGATGAAAAAGATTTTGAAAAGTATTTAATTTTCAATAAAATTTATTTATCCAGTAAATCGTGATGTAAAACAATAAACAATGCAGGTACACAAAAGTTAAAAATATAAAAATATAAGTAAAAAAAAATAATAGTCCAAAAAATTTTTTAATTAATATTTTATTTCTATTTTTTAAAAAAATAAAATTTATATAGGCATTTCACGATTTATCTTCTCTAATAAAAGAATCGTCCGATTTAGTATCATAAAAACATATGCAAATTATATTTCAGCGAAATTATTTTAACACACTCACAACACCCTTTCTCTTAATTAAACAAACCATTATACAAAATTTTCCTTCAATCTCTGCTTTACTGAGCTTGTATCTCCACATATGTGTAGCCAGGATTTTCCTAAGGAGGGGGGGGGGACTAATAAATTTATGGGGAGCTTCGTCTCCTCCACTTTTGGAGAGCCTTTGGCTGGGTTTCTATAGCCTATATATAGTTATAAAATATTTTTATAGGATAGTAGGTAATTATAATAAAAGCAACTTTATATTATTTAAAATATATTAAACTGGTAATCTATCTATTAAATTATTATATTGATTCTTTCGTTTTATTCATAATACAAACATCAGTCAAAATAAAATTACGAAAAAAGATATTACAAAAAGATAATAATAATATCTCCATAAATGTTAGGTAGCTCCTTAACCAGATATATTTATATCATACATATAAAATCATTATAAAACAGTGAATTGAGGTGTTCGAGTATATATTGTTGTATATCAAATCTCTTTGAATCTTAATCATATATTTTCTATAAATTTATTCGTAACTATCATAAATCACATTTCAAAATAGATATCCATATCAAATTCAAAAATCTTTTCTTTTATATATCTCAATTCGATACAAAAATAATAGGTAAATAATATTCGATCATCAAAGTTTTGCAATAATAAAATGAAATGTAACTTAAACGATGATATAAACTGAATTTAAGTTAAGTGAAAAAACAATATAAAATATAAATTGTAACACGATAAAATATAAATACTAAAATGTTTTAGATCACGACAAGAGGCATAAAACTAAAATATGTTTATATATAACAAAATGTAATTAACAAATGCTGTAATTCATACTATATTACATTATAAACTATTATATATAATTTTATTATATTAATATTAAAATATATATGTAAGATCATTCAATTATAAGTACTAGTAGAAAGCCCGTCAAAAATGACGGGGAATGAGATTTTTATTCATTTTTTACGATAGATGTCATGCCAGGTTCAAGCTCACAATATTAGGAAGCATCCAAGATCTTATAATTTTAAAAAAGTTTATCAAGCCCAGCTCAACCCTTAATAAGTTGTAAAAGATATTCCCAAGTCAGGTGCAAGCTATTAATTTTGAAGTTCCAAGCCCAGTCCTACCCATTATAATTTTGAAAATTTTTTCCCGCCTCGGAGATAGATAAATTTTAAATATCATCACATGAACGGTAAATATCTGATTTACCAATTAGTCTAATATGGAAAAAAAACATATAAATTTTGTATTAAGGGAAACTGGGAAGGCCTGGGCAACCACTTATTAGAGAATCATGACAAATAAAATAAAAATAACCGACTCTTATACTTTTTTGTAATATGATCAATTAAAATTATATCTAAAAAATATATTGTTTATTATATAAGGTTATTGTTGTTTTTCAGATAAATTTAATGCATGTCTTGCATTTCTGAAATTATTTGTCAAAGAATTTGATAAGGGATATATATTTTTTTATGTTAAGTAAAAAAAATGCTGTCTATTTAAATTACAAAAATGCCATTAAACACTAATGAAACTTATATGCAAATTATTAGTGATGTTTTACTAGTAACTGTAACTAGTTATAATTTTTGAAATGTAACTGCCAAAATTAACTAGTTACTTTTAAAGATATATTCAAATAATTAATTTTATTTTTAATATGTTGTGATAAATTAATTTTAAATTAAATTTATTTTTAAATTAAATTTATTTTTTAAATTAAATTTATTTTTTAAATTAAATTTATTTTTTAAATTAAATTTATTTTTTAAATTAAATTTATTTTTTAAATTAAATTTATTTTTTAAATTAAATTTATTAATTTAAAATTTTGTGAAAATGTCTGATTGTTATAATTTCCCGTTCAAATTGATTTTCTTTTCTTAAATTGTTATATTGCTGCTGGGCTTCATAATTTTGTAAGCAAATTCAAGTAATTTAATAAATTTTAATATTATATTTATTTACAAATGTAGCACAATATATTTTTTTCCGTCAAGTAACAAGCATTGGAACTTCATATCATACGTAATAAAAAAAATTTTAAATTTAGTATAAGGAAAAACAAAGACAGATTATTTTAGAATTTAATATTAAATTATTAATCATTACTTAGAAAAACCAAGTCTAACAAAAATATCATGTTATAGGTTTAATAATCTTTATGATAATGACAACATCATTGCTGCAATTCTTCACCCTTTATTTAAAACTGACTGGCCTTGGATTAGGCAAGAAAGGAATAAAGCAAAAAAGGAGGAAATTTTAAATTTAATAAATACCTTAATACCTCAAAGTGAATCCCAGACGAATGAATCATGCTCAAAAACAACATTGATGTAGTTGGATTTTTTGACCTAAAGCGCCAAAATATTATGGATAATGAACTTATAGAAAACTTTATCAAATCTAATAACAACACTTTTTCTTTATATAACGATTTTCCAAAGTTAAAATTACTCTTTATTAAATATAATGTTGTTCTAACATCAAGTTCTCCCGTAGAGCGCTTGTTCAGTCTAGGTAAGCTCATTTTTGGAGATAAACGAGCACGTCTCCTAGATAATAACTTTGAAATTAATTTGTTGTTAAAAGCAAATAAACATTTATTAGATTCTAATTTTTATGAAAAATAAATGTTTTTTTTTTAATGCAAATATATATTTTTATATTCGATGTAAATATTCAATTTTGCGATTTTTTTTTATATAAATAAATTGTATATTATTTTAAATAACTCATTACACTTTGTTTATCCTAATTTTTTTTATATTAAATAAATTCATTCAATAAATAAATAATGCGCATATTAATGATGTATAAAGTAAGTAACTAGTTACTTTTGAAAATAACTGTAACTAATAACTAGTTACTTTTGTAAAAATATAACTAGTAACTGTAACTAGTTATGTTTTTGCCAATGTAACTAGTAACTGTAACTAGTTATGTTTCAAAAGTAACTTTTAACATCACTACAAATTATTTATATATTTTTTAAGATATTTTTTTTTATTGACATATAAATTTAGGATAATTTTTTTAAAAAATAATGAGGAATATTTATTATGTATTTGATAAAATTAATCCTTGTTGACATTTTAATTTTTGATGAAAAAAGTGACAAAATAAATCTGGGCGGTCGTCTGGAGATGAAATAATTAATGTATAATTTTATATCATTTAGGGTTGTAGATGAAAGTAATGACGGATTACCAAAGCAGTGTACAAAACACAATACGTACTGATAAAGATGATATGCCTATGAATGCAAAACGATATTCCTGTCAATGTCAGCATTGGTATCCCCCTCTAAAATAGAATCATGAACGACAATGTTAACTAATCCATAAAACGGTCGTAAGTATTGTTATAAAGGCCACGACAGAACTACTGCATATTTTTCCATTAATAAAGTTTATGAAATTGGCTGTACTGTACATTCAAGTTTGAACACACAAAACGATATTTCTGTCAATGTCAGAATTGGTATCCCCTTCTAAAATAGAATCATGAACGACAATGTTAAATCAACCATAAAACGGTCGTAAGTATTGTTATAAAGGCCACGACAGAAATACTGCATATTTTTCCATTAATAAAGTTGATGAAATTGGCCGTACTGTACATTCAAGTTTGAACATTCCTCTAAATATTTATGAAAGTTTCTCAGAGAATCGGATAAAGTAATATTTATATTAACTCATAGTGAAGTGAATGATAGTACATAATTAAATGTTTATATTTGTTAAAAAATAGGCGGAGGTGGCATAGGGATTGTGGTAGTGGTGATGGAAATATCATTTGGAGAAATGGGTGAAAATAAAATAAACATAGATATAAAACATAAGATAAAAAAA